GTGTGTGCTCATGTGTGTGTGCGCGCGCGCCACTTTCAAAATGGCAGGGCGGGAGTGAATCTTCCCGTTGTGTGTGTGTGTGTGTGTGTGTGTGTGTGCGCGCGCGCCCGCCACTTTCAAAATGGCAGGGCAGAGTGAATCTTCCCGCTGCAACACGCCTCAAGGTTTGCAAGAAATTTGCTTACTTATGCATGATAAACCAATAAATCGTGAAATAATAATACACCCCCAAGGTGGCGACATTCGTCCAATTGCTGAAACAAATCACGCTTTCAACCCAGTCCACTACGTTTTGCTTTTTCCTTCAGGCGAAGATGGGTAGACATCTGGCACGGACGATCAAGATGATCCTACCATTCTTCGAATTACTGCTCGTGAATTCTACATGTTCCATCTCAACACACACACAACTGGACGCACAACAATATTCAGAGCTTCACGGCTTCTCCAAAAAGACGTATGCATGGCCTACACAAAAATTGAAAATGGTCGGCTCGTGTACAACTGACATCAACCTGAGATTCAAGCTTACCTTTACCGAAACCTGCACGACCACATGATGGAATACGACAATACCGAAAACGTTGGCCAACGTAATATCTTGCCTGGGACATTCGTCAGTGGTCCATGAGACATGCATCGACGATATTTAGATTCAACGGCAACCGTCCAAGAATATGGACCTTCTGATCTCGTCATTACAATCACATATAATACCCGTTGGCCAGGAATCGAAAGCGAATTGTTTCCAACCAACAGCAATCCGACAGACCAGACTTGCTGGCCTGCACAAGTTTACTTGCACCGCCTTATCTATGATATTCATCGTACACATATATATGGCCAAACCGTCGCATACATATACGTCATTGAATTTCAAAAACGTAGCTTTCCACACTCCCATCACACAAGATCTCAACACCTCAACAAATTGACTCAATCGTGCCCGCTGGAATTCCTACCAATCCAATTCTCTGTGAGCTCGTACTTTTGCACATGGTTCATAATCCATGTGGTCCGTATAATATGCAAGCACTTTGTATGCATAACGATCGTTGCGCACACCACTTCCCTACAGACTTCTAAGACCGAACACTACGAAAAGAAAAAAACGGTTACCCAATCTACCGCTGTCGTCCACCCGCCGATGGAGGCGAGATTGTTCTTCCCAAGCATGATCAACTTGATAACTTTTGGATTGTACCATACAACCAAGATTGTTCTTCGCGAGCATGATCAACTTGATAATTTTTGGATTGTACCATACAACCCATATCTTCTTCTCCGCTATCGCTGCCATTTAAATGTCGAAATCCGCCGCTTCAACAACCGTTTACCGACATATGTTCGAATACCTCATGAAAGGCCTCGATCGACCCATGGTTGGTGATATGACAACCACAAACGATGAAATCCAAACATTTCAAGATATGCAACGATTGGTGTTGCCGAGGCATGCGGGCACACATTTGAATTCACATTATATGAACGATACCCTGCTCTATTTCTGCATTGTGCTAAAATCGACAACAAGTTTACTTCTGACAACGACAAGCGGAACGTGTTGCACGAAGGCCGCCACCCAATACCGAATGCATCGCATGGTATAAGTGGAATCATGCACACATAAACGGCGCGGATGAAATGAAACCTTTATACAAAGATATGCTTTCCCGTTACCGATTAGACAAAACAAAAAAAGAATGCGACGAAATGCCACACACACCACAGACTGCATGCATACAATCCATCCTAACGTCGACGACAATTTCGACCTCCGAATGCTTCTTTTGTCACCTCATTCTCGAGGTGTAACATCATTCGCACACGTCCGCACTATTGATGGTGAACTTCACTCCACATTTCAATTTACATATCGTGCACTGGGCCTTCTCAATTACAACACACAATTCGACGTTGTCCTTCGTATCGCAATCTTTACAGCATCCTCAACAATGGTTCGTGATCTCTTTGTTCATATCATCCCGCATTGCGCACCCGCTGACCCCTACGAATTGCTTGAAAAACACTGGGAACAAATGATGGATGACTTCCACATAAATCTCATTGATGTCAACGTTCCGCTTCCTATCATCAAAATAATGTTTTTGCTCGACATAGGAAATTGCCTTGTCGTTGCAGGTTACAAGGTAACACCACAGCTCCGGCCAGCATCGTTCTGGCATCGGCAAACTGAGGGCACAGAAAACAGCAACTCTGTCGGTGTCAATCCAGGTATAACCATCTCTGAAATCGAATATCCTAATGAAGAAGAAGACCAGATGTTGCTCTAGCTTTCAGAACCCCGAAAAACTTACTATAACATATTGTCTAAGAAGCTTCCAAGAGTCACTGCGCAGAAAAAATTCCCCCTGCCCACAAACCCTGTCCCATGCTGCCACCGCCGAGGAAACCCACCTCGGCCCCAACCTGGAACAGACCCCCTTCTTCCCCCCCATCTGCAAAGGCAGCCAATTCCCTCCTAGAGGATACCTTCGCCCTCCCCTTGTCCCTATCTGCCCCCACCGGGATTGAAGGCAACCAACTCTCCCACCCCGGCCCCAGATAAGGACAAAACCACAAATTTGCCCCACCCCCGACAGGGCTGCCGCCTCTCACCTTGCGGCGCCCCTGTAAAGTAAGGCTCCCCAATACCAACCCCCACCCTTCCCCCAAGAGTCCGAACCGTGACCACAGAAGCCCTATCCCGACTTAAGCACACCCATCAAATGAAACGGCCAATTAACCTAGAGAAAGATCTTATGAGCAATGTCTAGCGAGTAAGTTTTTGTGATGGAAATCCCAAGATGAAAACACTCAAGAGAGTGAACATGAGAAAAAGAGGATCGTGATAAACGTGTTAGAAGAAATTCTAATTGCAGAGAAGAACAGTGCCCTAAAACATAGGGTTATAGGGAGAATATTGGCGAGCAAACTCACTTGCAAATGATGTCAATAATAACCCCCTAATTAGGGATTGGATTAATGATAATTTTTATAAGGATGATAGTTATAATGATGATAGTACTTTCGATGATAACGCTACCGATGGTGATGACGATGATGATATTGATGTCTTGTAACTGGATGGGTGGCCGAGAACAGTACCCTAAGACTAAAGATTTTAAAGATGATATTGGCGAGCAGACTCGCCTGCAGATGATATCAGTGACATCCCACTAATGAGGAATACGGTTAAGGGAACTATTTTATAAGGATGATGGTGATGAAACTAATTGTGATGATGATGGTGATGCTACAGATAGCAGTAATGACAAGCAACACAGTAATGATGACGATAGTAATGACAAAAGCCACACAGAGATGTAATAATGATTAGAATGATGAGCAATTACCAATACTTGGATGACAAGTGTTGTTTGCTGATTGATAATTGCAACCTCCTGAAAATTTCGACATGTGCCTTGATGATGACATGCTGGTGATGAAAAACGACACAGATGATATCTTGATGATGACGACTAACGTCCTAATGATGCTAGCAAACCTTGGTGATGATGATGACGAACATCAGCTTGATAACGAACAACGCTCCTGATACCGCCTTGACTATACTTGATGACGTCCAAGTTGTGCCCCTAAAGACGGACAACACCCTAATGACGAGCTTCGCGACCTGATAGTAATAGTGATGACAAGGATGATAGCGAGCAGCTCCCAAATGGCAGATTTCCTGATGATGACGACTATCGTTCTGATGATGCTAGCAAACCTTGGTGATGATGATGACGAACATCAGCTTGATAACGAACAACGCTCCTGATACCGCCTTGATTGTACATGATGACATCCAAGTTGTGCCCCTAAGGACGGATAACACCCTAATGGCGAGCTTCACGACCTGATAGTAATGGATGACAAGGATGATGGCGAGCAGCTCCCAAATGGCGGACCGTTACTGTAATCACTCTCACTTCAGAGTACCTAGGGCTAACTCCACTATACTCCACAGACATCGACATAGCCAACGCCTCTCAGGCCAAATGCCATGTGCAGCAACGCAGCGGCAATGGAGTGACACGTGGAACTCCCAGAGACTAAACGCCACCGGGAGTCAGACCAACTACCACGTCAGCTTGTGGGCAAGCGCCTGCGGTCTCCTCCGCGTGCGCTCTAGCGCCTGGGCTTCAAAAAGAAGGGTCACCATCGCCGCCGCGTGCCATCTCCGTGAACCCGTAGCGTCGGGCGGGGCTCAGCGCTGCGCCCCGCTCTGGATGATGGTGGTCTGGTCAGTACTGTCTTTGAGTAGTAATGTCCCGATAAAGGGAGGGCTAGGAGTTGCTCTATGTTTAGGAAGCTGGAATGGTTGATATAGCATAGTATTCAATTTTTTAGTTCTCCATCAAAAAAAGATTCTTAGCCGAAGCCCATAGTATTCAATTTTTCGTTCTTCATCAAAAAAAGATTCTTAGCCGAAGCCGGGTAATGGCCCCGGCACCTCATATGTTGAGTAATAATTCATGCGGGACGCTGGACCCGGTTTCCAGCACGTGCTGCCCCCCACGAATAGATTGGAGCGAATTGTCCCAAAAAAAAAAAAAAAAAAAAAAGCCTTCATAAAGAAGGAAAACAACTCGAAGACGTTGGTCTACTCTCACCACCTGTTGCTGATCATGAGGAAGCAAATCGACTTGCCGAAAAAAAACGCCGACAAGACATTCCACAAAGTATCGAAGACTAAATTTCCTACGATAAACAAAGCCTCCAACATACTCTCAAAGCAAATTTTTCACTCGTGTTCATCACAACCTGTTGTTTTTCACTGTATTGTCCCTGCAATCAAAACCAATATCGTTTTGCCTATTCGTTGATGCACCAGCAGGAACCAGCAAAACCTTCTGCTTCAACACAATCCTCGCACATGTTCGGAATCAAAACCATGTTGCGTCGGTTGTCGCTCCAAGTGGCATTGTCGCTACTCTCCTTAATGGTGGTAGCACCTTCCACTCTCACTTCGAAGCTCCTCTCACCCCAACTGCAACTTGCACACTTGATATCTCTAAACAATCAGCACTCCCAAACACTTGACCGAACACTACGTGACATTTGTTCTTCCCATTCCCCTTCTGGCGGCAAAACAATCGTGCTCGCATGTGACTTCCGCCAAATTTTCCCCGTTATCACCAAAGGAACAAGCGCACAAATAGTTAATGCATGCATTAAATCATCTATCCTCTGGCATCACTTCGAAACAATGCAGCTCTCTGAAAATATGTGCACCATAACTCAAATCAATACACCTGAAGGCCACCAATACGCCAAATGGCTTCTTAAACTTGGAAATGGTGAGCTTAAACCATCACCACATACACACCCAACAACCGTTGAACTTCCCGCACACCTCTGTTCAGCTGAAGGCACTCACCAACTCATTGCATGGACATTTGCACACCTCCAATCAAACAGTGAAAATCCACTAGCTTGCTGAACGATTGATCCTATCACCCACAAATAAATATGCCTATGCCTTCAATTCAATCATCCTTGATCAATATTCGGGTCCTTTCATCACATTGCTCAACTCTGATTCTTTACTTCCCTGGAATAAGATCGGGAAGCCTCACCCATGCTCGTTAGCCGCACCTAGGCCTGAGTGCGTTTGAGTGGCACTTGAGCTCCCAGCTGTCAACCGACAGTTGCTGGGTGTACAACAGGCCACATGGCCGTGATCTCGGTCTTTTGTGCCGCCCAACCAACGTACCATCGTCCAGTACTGTACCAACCAGACACTCGCACCATAACCTACCTGCCCCCAACCGTGCCAAATTACTTGTTTTTTCAATATCTGCAGCGTTCGCATGATTTTTCAAGAGCTAGTGGTGGTTAAACAGTGCTGGTGGACATCTAATGACTGAAAACCACAGGGGTGGGTATTCATAACTACATCTCTTACCAACTCCACAGGCCCATTTGTTCGGCAGGACAAAACAGACTGGAACATCCCACAAGCACACACAGACTGGCTAAAACCAGATCCCTCATGGGTTTATTCAGTGTGACAAAGCACACACTACTGTCACAACCCGAAAATAATGCCCAGGCGATATATTCAACATACCCCAAAAAAGTCACATATTCTTTTTTTGCTGAGTTTTCCTCAAATGCAAAGAACTCAACTCAGCATGCGCACAGACAGTCCAGGGCCGTAACTTTTGGTCCAAGTCTCAATTCAGGGGTCAAAAGTCACGTCTCCTGCGCCAAGAAGGGCCTCAGAAAAGTCCTCGGGTCAACAGGTACAGGGTCAAGGGTCACAAGAGGCAGCCTGCACCCCCCACAAGAGTCAGGCACAACTCGTGAAAAGAGGTCCAAGAGTCAGAGATTGCTCAGAAGTTCACAACGACCACAGATCTGATGCACAATCAAAGGCTGTCTGTATTGTTCGAGAAGTTTCCAGGGCCTGCTAGGTCCAGTCACACATTGGCCGACAGAAATTCTGGGCCATACAGATTGAGAAATCTCAGGCAAACTAGGCCCACCCCAATCAAATCTACGAAAAGAGCTCCCTGTGAAACTCAGCTCCTTCATTCTGCCTTGCACTGCTGGAGGCTGGAGTGCTGCTCTATTCAGCGCTGCAGGAGACGGGAGGCTGGTGCCAGGGAAGGGCGAATGCCAGCCAGGAGAAAAGAGAGCGACAGTAGCCATACCTAAGCCGGGGACTGAGCACCATAGCTGTGGGATAGAGGTAGGTTTAGGAAAAAGGTGATCAGGACGTGTGAGGAGGGAGAGAGAGAGAGCGATGGAAGCTTATATTTACTTACCTGTTGACGCTTGTGGTACTGCAGCAGTTACGCTTGAAGACTCAAGGTGGCAGAAGCCAAACTCCACAGCTGAACATCGTTGCTGGAGGTTGGGCGCCTGAACATACCGCTGCAAGAAGGCTTCATCAGTACAGCCAGGGTGGAGCTGCATGCTGAGGTGGCCAGTGATGGGAAGAAAGTTCCAAGAAGAAGGGGGATCTAAAGCGCCGTACAATTGTAACCACTGACATGTAAAGCCCGTGCCAATACGCCCGCACACATAGAAATGTCGATGAGCTATTTGGGGTCTACATAAGTATCCATCTACTAGCGGACCTGTTGCGGCTACGCCCGCAATAAAAATGAAAAGTTTGCCAAGAAGTTGATGGACTCTCTCTCTCTCTCTCTCTCTCTCTCTCTCTCTCTCTCTCTCTCTCTCTCTCTCTCTCTC